CGTTATAGTGACAAAGACTCACCCATACTTGGTTTACCTTGATTAAAATCACGCTTCAGGACTTCTTATTCGTGTTTCATTGTCGATCGTTGGCCAAGCTTTCGTACCTTTCTTCTTAGTCTCGTGCTTACATTTAAACAGTCATCCAGGAATACAACTCTTGGAAGTGTTTTAGTTGGTAAACGTACTGTTGATCGTTTGAATAAAGAGCTCAACTAAGGGCCGATTCAAACTTCGTGCTGTCCTCGTGTGGAACTCGCTGGTCAAATAAGCAACAACGCAAATGAAGTTCGGTTTCCGAAGGAACATCATATCGCACTAGGACACCAGCCGTGACGGAGGTTGTCGCATATTTTAAACGAGGAGCGTTGGTTACGGTCAACTTACCGGCCAGTACTGCCATTTGCGTCCACCGTTGAAGTGTGACGAAGAGTAGCGTTAGAGCAAGATTTTAAATGTTTCATTCATTTATCTAAAGTGACACCTAACCAAACAAAACCGTTAACGTTTTAAAAGTAAAACTACGCACTAAACTCGCCACGCCTCATGGACGCAAAGTGGTAGTAGTTAATCAATTGAGTTTTGTGACGACATAAGCGCGACTAAAGAACCAACCCAATGTGTTGAGTAAGTTATGAGTCAAGCCTCGTTGGTGGACGAATACTTCTTACTCGGGAAGTACATGTAGTAGACAGTGCGATAGAGTCATCAAAGACAAAACTGCTTCCTCTATGACGAGATCTACACCATTGTGATCACCTTCAAAGCTAAGATCCCTTGGCTCCCTGAGAACATTGAACATTTTGAAATTGTGTTGGCAACTATGGTAATATGTTGAATAGCAGTCATATTACTCACTTAATAGCAGATACTGGTTTAACTTGGCTTTGCAATCGGGCAACGACATTCTGCCATTCAGCTTCAGTCTTAGCTGTGAAGGTGGGGAGACTTCCATCAGCTGCACGACCGCAAATCCCGACATCTACCTCAAATGATCGTATATTTGCCCGTCTGGCGTCTTGTTTGAGACCATACAATTCGCGCGAGGACTTTTTAAACTCGTTCAGCTGCTGGCTGAACAAAGACGAACAAAAAATAGTGTGTCGTTTATAATAGCACTTCCTGTGATCAAAGCGATAAAGTTCGATGACGCTATGTTAAA